AATTCATCTTTCTTCCTTCTCTTTAGGAGGAAAGAAGAAGAAGAAAGATAAATTGGTGCAAAAGTTCAACCAAAAAGAACAGGCCTATTATTCCTTATTCCTAATGGTCGATAACCTAATAGATTTTGAGCCATAGTCAATTCATCTATATTTAAAAATAATGCATGTTCAGGCGGAGCATTGCTAAAACTTTGGCTTCTTACGACTTCACTTATATATCTTTAAACGACGTAGTTCTTCATACAGATTATGATTATTTATTGTTACAGGTCCATAGAATCAGCTATATTCGCCAATTTGACTAGTAGGAATTTTGAAAACCATGGATAAAAGTGTTCGCCTGTCATTGTTTGTATGGAACCAAATACTCAAAGTTGTAATAGGTATTGGTTCAGGAATTGAAAAGCTAGATTGTTGTATTGATAATATATCATTTTAGCCTTCTTTAATATTCGGTGAGCAATAAGGATAAAATGATATATCATGCTCATTGCTCATCATGCATGAAACATAGTGCATTCTTAAGATTTGTTCGCGTGCGCCTACATGCTCCAATATGCTCTAATCATAGCTCCTACTCGCTCAAACGCTCTCGTTGAGTGAGTAGGAACTATGGAAGGAACATATTGGAGCATGTGACGCGAACAAATATTTATTTATAATATGTGTTTTTGCGTCTGACGTCCATAGGTCCCATGACCAATTGATCATGCACGACTGAGTTCAAGTTTAGCAGATAAAAGTAGTATTCCTATAATAAGAGTTAGGACAAACCGCCGCCATTAATAGCCAAATACTAGAGACTATAGACGAATAACCAAATATTACTACTACAGAGACTATAGAAAATATACAGAAAATGTGACACGTCAAACACATGTAGCTGAGTTCAATTAAATGAGCATGGTTATTATTAGAAGTAACATTCTTTAACAAATGTCTTGTAAATATTATACTGCCAGCGCTAGATGACGAAAACATGAAGGATAACATCAAATATGTGATTTTTTGCAATTTGCTTGTAACTCGCGGTTGTGTTGATTATTGCAATTTATTTGAAACTAGCGGTTGGCTATTACATATGGCGGATTTCGGCAATCAATTAAAAATTATTACCTCGGTGGCTTAACTCTTATTATAGTATCTCTAGATAAAAGCTGTGTTTTGAAGTTGCTAATACTGAAATCTATGTATAGTTCACGTTACGTATACTACAAATTATCGGTACTAGCACTACTAGCAATGTGTATCGGATTTTGAAAACAGATGAAGTAATTCAGTGAGCAAACAATAATTCTTTATATAATTGATTCTTGGAGTGTACAGAAGTTACCATTCCTTTTTTTGAAAATTATAATTTTTAAACTTGTTCCAGATTGTTCTAACTTTGTATGTACCAAAGTTGTTGCAAAGCGATATTACTTTATTTTTATTCCAAACAGTTCTCTAAATAAAACAAAAGAAAACATTTTTACAGCTAGTTTCTCTTTTTTTTTTAAAATCAAACAATTTCTTATAGTTATAGATTGTTTTAATTGTTTTAAACATTATTTCAAAAGAATAATTCTAAGTTAAATTAAAAACCTGGAAAAAGAAAGCGTTTTTCAACAAATCGATTCTCATAAAAGAATCTCAAGAGTAAACATACACTTTCTTTCGTACTAATCAGAGAACTTTTTATTCTGAGTTGTTGCCTAAGGTTCTAGCCTTATGAATATATTAACTTTTGTGTAACTTTTTCTCTAGAGTGGAAACGTGAAACTAAAAAATGAACAATTTTTGTACGTATGTATGTGTGGATATATACACACACATATATGTATATAAAAAATTGTCACTTTTCTCTTTCACTCTAGAGAAAAAATTTTCGTCCTAGGAAAAAAGTTACATGACTTCTTACAAATTATCTGTGACTATATTAGATGGAAACTAGCAGTCACATACATATACAATAATTTCTTCGCAATATTGTACCTATTCTCTAAAGCAGATTATAATATTTTCACTTAAGACAAATATGTAACATAATCGGAGTAATATTGCATACATTATTATTACTGTATTCTAATTCTTAAAAAACGAGACTTTAAAAAACAATATTTTTCTTTTATTTTTAATATGTGTTTCAGATATGCGTGTGTTTGGATTGCTTTCTCTTTTTGTTTTTTATTTATTTCTTTTAATTGCTTGAATTGTTGAATGTAGAGGTAATACACACGAAAGAAATACATTTTCCTTTTTTTCCCTATATATTTTATAAATCATATTTGTGCTTCCCTGTATATTTTATAAATTATATTGCGAGAATTTGCCTAACAGCAATATATACGGATCTTTTTGTTTTCATCAGTTGTAAAAATCTCATTTTAGCTTATGAAACGTACGAGTAGAATACATTGATGCTTGTCGGCGTGTAATCGTCCAATAAATCTCGTTAAGAGACAAATGATTCCAACGTGCGTGTTGCAGTATCACTACATATAATTTATAAAAGCAACTCTGTAAACAGTTTAATCTTCACGATTGTATCTTTGTACGTATGCCTCCCAGTTGTCTACTAATCATCTATTCTTTCTTCTTCTTTAGTGTAGATTTTTAATCCACGAAGTTTCAACGCCTATTCTTTACGTTTTAAATTGTTTATAATACTTTATGAGCCGTTACATCATTCGCGGAAATTTTTCAATTTCACAACTCATATATGAGATGTACATGCGCAACATTACGAGAATATACAAACGATCGCTAATATGAATTACTTAATGTAATGACGATGTAAATCTGATTATATTATATGCTTCGTTATATAGCAGATAAATTATTGAAGCATACACACGGTGTATATTCATGATACGTTCGTGAAGAAAAGAGAAAATACTTGTGCTTATCATTTATTCGTTGCTCTTCTTTTTGGTGTTATCAACTTGAGTATCTTTTATATTGAAATATTTTTTATAACTAAATAAAAATGAATGGGGACATTTTACGTCGCACGAAATCCGTTCATTCAATCATTTTAATATTTTATATAAATTTTAGTTCATTTTCACGCGAGATGAAATAAAATTGAAGAAGAGAGATTAAGTGCGAATGCGTATTTTGCTGTTAATATGTGATATCATAATTTATATCAATTTCAGCATCTTTTACACCGAACTTTCTTATAACTAAATAAGAGCAGATGAAAACATTTTACGTTTCTCGAAATCCGTTGTTTGGATATTAAATACACATTATATTTTTAGCTTTTTTATAATAAAATAAAATTGACGAAGGAGAGAGATTAGTCAGTTGCGAATTTATTGTTAATGGATATATTATATATGCTATTATAATTTATAATCACTTCAACACATCCCATGTAATACGTCTGAGTGTGTTACGTCAAGAATAATTTGCATAAGAATATCCATTCGCGACATGTGTTTTCGGCGTGCAACAGTGAATATCTTTTTTTCCTTATCTTTTATTTTTTCTTTTTTTTTTTTCAATTACACGAGAAGCCCTTGTGGAAAGTCGTGCAATTTTTCCATGAGAGTAATGCAACGCTAAGCTCTAAACTGTAAAAGGGTATCATTTCGCGCGTTTTTTCAGCGATATCGAGAATATCGCTCGGAGCAAAAACAAGTCCGGCTCGACTGATACAGCGTCCAGACGGGAATTCACAAAAATTGAATTGTGACGACTAATACACTGATGGAAGGGTGATGATCGCTCGTATTTTGCGTTTTGCGATCATCACTCCTCCATCAGTGTACGTCTCTTCGACAGACCTCGGAAAGTTACACGCGTCGGATGTTTTAGAAATGGTGTTAACGTGACCCGTATGCACGTGTCGTGCGGGTATCGTTTGATGAATCGACGCCTTTTGACCAATGGCGCGACCAAGTGGCACTTTAATCTCCTGCCCGCGATATCTTTTTGCTCATTTATCTTGTATTCCATTGGGGGAAAAAAGCGAAAAAAGGAAAAAACAGACGCTGCGGATTGTAATAAATATTATTTTCCACTGCTTGTTTATTCATTATCACTCTAATGTGTCTTCTCCGCTAATTACAGAGTATCGTATGGCGCTTCGCTCCGCCGAAGACGGAATGACATATCACTACCCAACATTTAAAATCGCAACGTAAATGTTATCATTTTCGTAAAAATGAACATTCCGAGCGTAGAGAGAGAGAGAGAGAGAGAGAGAGAGAGAGAGGGGGGGGGGAGGGGGAGAAAATAACGGTGCATCACTGATAATCGACTCGGTTATTAACGCTAAAAATATATTCGCGCAAGTCATCGTATTCAGCTCAGATCGGTGCGTCAACAACACCTGTTTTATCATGGTTACTCTATGTTTGCGTTACTCTATGTCGAGTACGTTTATTAATATACGCTCCTCTCCACTACGTGCACGGTAAATTCCGCGGAAGCCCGTCGAGGAAATTTCGGCCGTGGATTTAAGCGCCGGGTGCCCGACCAAGTAGAATTACACGTGCAGACTCGCAAGGTCGACTCCGGCGCCAAGTTGCGCCAAGCACGTGCATCGTATCTGACACGAGGCAGCGGGGAAAGAGAAGGATGACCCGCGACGAACGTATCGAAATAATTCTTTTTTCTGAAAAAAAAAGTTACGCGAGCCGGCACGACGCGGCGCGATGAGGCGCGACGTCGGGGATCGGGTGTTCCCCGCGTCTCCGCGCGCCGTCGAAAAACGAATGATCATGGCGTCGACGCGACGACAGAGAATCGGCTGATCGGAGGAACAAGGTTCTCGCAGAGGTTCCGTACGACGAACAGCGAAGCGGCATTAGCGGTAAGCGGCTGCAGCGCAGGAATGCACACGAAACACGCGGCACGCGCGCAGCTCCGAATGCTCCGATTCGCGTACGTGTCGCGATCACGTGAACGTCACGCAAAGTGGATGGGCGCGCATGCGCGGCACTCGCGGCCGCGCCGGCCGGTGTTCGTGGCCGCGCGTTCAAATCGCGCGTTCAAACGCGTGTCGAACGTGGTGTAACGTGGAACGGTACCGCGCGCGATCATCGGCGCGCCGGCCGAACCGAGGGGTTGCATTCTCTTTCTCCTCTTTTTTTTCTCTCCTTTTCTGTTTCTCTCTCTATCCCTCTTCTTCTCTCCTTCGCGTGCGTATGATATCGCGGGTTCCGCGACTTCTTCGAGGAACGTCCGATTGTCGTGGTATAGCGACGCGACGGTGAGATAAGACCATCGCTGTTGGTCGTGCGCGTCGGAGTCGGTAATAGATAGGCGTGCGATGCGCTACACTGCGGTCATTATCACGTGAGGAGGAGAAACTGTCCAATCGTTCTCCGCTGATCCCCTAAACTAAACGCGACGTTTTTTTTTTACACAAGGACTCTTACATTCGTCATACCCCGTGCAATTTTCAACCGTGATGCTATCCAACTAATTCGCGATGCCATATATGATCATATGAAGAAATTGTTTCTGCTAGAAAGCATACGTAACTGCAATTAACAATTTGGTCCTGACGTTCCACGGAATAAGAAGATTAAATAAGAAGATAACGCGTGAAGAAAAAGAAAAAAAACGGACGTTTGCCATCAAGAAAGCAGAGTGAAGAGCCCGTGAGAGTTATTTAAATCCACTCCTCGTCAAGTCTGAGGAGCCTGTCATTTTTTACTGCGAGAAATTAGTAAGTAACATGTTATTCACTCACAGTTTTCTATCGTTCATTGACATTGCGTGCGTGGGTGATTTAAATCTGCATACTTCCGTGGTAATAATAATATCCGGTTCACCAATATGCACTTTCTATTAATTTTGAATTTAAGCTCAATAATTAGTTAATGAATAATTTTAGATTAATTTAAAAAAGTTTCCTAGCATGTTTTCTTGTTTAATTGAATATAGAGTTTTATTTAAAATTATTACATAAGGGAACTTGATTTTTCTTTTATTGTTTTATTTATTTCTTAATTATCTTTTTAGATACGTTTAAGAATAGTTTAATTTTAGACTCATGGCAAACTTATCTTTAAATCACTTGGCAAATAATTAGTTTGAATTGCTCTCCTCTGTCTCTCTCTCTCTCTCTCTCTCTCTCTCTCTCTCTCTCCCCTCCTTCCCCTCTCTCTCTTTTTCCTCTTGTTTATTTCTAATTCTAATTTATTCCTAGCTCTAGTTTATTTAATTTTTATTTTTTGCCACATTATGATATTATATGATATAATTCTTACATATAATATTATTTAAATTAAATTTACTAAACGTGGCTTAAATTATACAATATATAAATAAAAGAGCAAAAAAGAGAGAGAGAGAGAGAGAGAGAGAGAGAGAGAGAGAGCCGCACGTAGGATGTCGTTAGAGAAAGTTATATATATTTAAAATTTAATCCAAAACTATTAATAAACATTAACGTTTCGGCCAAGTTGTGGCCATCTTCAGTATGTAAAATATATAAAATAATACCTTTATACATTTAACATATACATTTAACATTATATAACGTATTAGGAAAAAATTTAGAAATTTATATATTATAGAAATTTCAATAACTCGTAATTAAAAAATCCATTAATAATACTTAATTAATTAATTATGCAATTAATTGGATAATTGCAAGCAACGTTCGTAATTTACTTTCGCGAATAAATTGTGACATTTAAAAAGATAAACTTTTACTGAAATTAGCAATTTTTTGTTCTCAATTTTTAATGTAGGTATGATAATGCTAACTTTTATATTTATTCACACACACACACACACACACACACACACACACACACACACACACACACAAAACACACATTTCTATTATATACTATATGTATTATGTATTTAACTCTTGGGAAAATTTATTTTTAATGAGGTTAAAGTTTTTAAAAGTAATTAAAAGTTTACTTAAAAAATTTTGAGGTAATTTAAAATGTGTAAAAAGTTAAGCCAAAATAACCTAAAATTTTCAGTTTTCAGAGATGACTTTAATACAATGTGATACAGCGCGTTAATTTCTTTCAGTTATTCTTAAATAAGTTTTAAAGTTATTTTAAAGAAAAGTTTAAAGTAGTCAAATTTACCTTTATTTCGTAGATTTTCTCTATAGTAAATTTTGAGTATTTTTTTAACATTTTCTTAAGTGTAATTTATTATTATATTTTCCCAAGGGAATATTTATTACATAATTCATATATTTAATTTTATCTACAATAGTGACGAAAATAGTTTTTGTACCTTGGCACATGAGATATTCATGATATTTTTCTTCATACATTATCGTACTTGGCACTTGATGAAAATATACATGTGATGATATAATATTGAAGTCGGTATTATTATGATAAGTTTGGATATTGTTCAATAATATGTCGACATGAAAATAATTCCTTAATTTATGTAAAAAAGTATGATTGTAGAGTGAAATGCGATTTTCTGTGCTTGTGTAGCATAAAGAATCTTAATGATATACGTAATAAATTGATCTTATCGAAATTATATTAATAATTTCGAACGTACATTGCAAGCGCGTGGTGCAGTAGTCGCAGACGCATTAAACAGACGCGCTGCTCGGAAATCACGTCTGCAACAAGTCTGGACATTCTCCTTACAGCCGGGAGTTGCTTGTAGCCGTGTATTTCGTTTCACGAGTATCCGTAACTTGTAGACATCTGTATCTGAAAGGCATTTATTTACATTTATCACTTCATTGTTAACTTTATAATCCGATTCTGAGGATATGAATACAAACAAATATAATAAAGATTAAATAGAATTACATTCTTATTACTCGCGATGCAAACAAATAATTTGCTATTTTAGAACATATTTGATTCCTTGAAAAACCAAATTTGCGAGAATACGTTTCTATAAAGATTTAATTTTAATTAAAGTTTTATATTTAGCAAATTTACTCTCTAAAATCTTTGAAGTGTAATTCTAAAGAGTGTAATTCTACAAAGTGGCAAATGGTGATAATTAAGCCAATGCAGTTTTGAAAAAGTGTGGCTCAATTAATTAATTTTTAGGAGTAAGATTTTAAAACTTTTTAAAGTTAGATTTCACTACAAAGATTTTAGAGAATAACTTTGAAAAAAGCTCTCAATAAAGATTTGATTTTTTTCACCAAATGCTAGATTTTAACAAAAACTTTATTCAAAGATGATAAAAACGTTGCGTTTATCACATGTGAGAATAATCGCGATGCAAAATAATTCAAATTAAATTCAAATTCTTTATAAATTACAGATGTTTTCCCGATAATAGAAAGTACCGAGAACAAATCTATTTGTGATGATCTATAAATAACTTTTGTTCCTTGCTTATCAGTATCTTTTCTATCGTATTTCCGGAGAAAAATATTGCTAAAATTGTGTTACAATCAGGAATTTGTCATACATTTTATCGTGAACCAGCGAAAAATTCTAATCAGAAGATTAAAGTTGGAAAAGATAATATCTAAACATAAACTGACGTATCACAAGTAAATTTGGAAAAAACTATTAATAGAGATTTAATTTTTTTCATTACATGCTAGATTTTAACAAAAACTTCTAGGATGACAAAAGCACGCGTTTAACACACGCGAGAATGAATGTAACGAAAAACCCAAATAAAATTCTTACCTCATAAACTCTAGACATTTTCCAGATAGTGAAAAATACCGAGAGCAAATTTCTTTGTTATGGTCTATAAATTAACTTTTGTTCTTTTTTTATCAGTATCTTTCTTATCATATTTCCGACAAAAAAATCAATATAATTGTACGATATTAACCAGGAAGTTGTTCACATATTTTATCATGAAACGAAAAATTCTAGAAAGATTCTTAGAAAGATTAGAATTATGTGGAACAAAAGATAATATCTAAACCTTAACATAGTCAAGTAACATATAACTTGTAACCATTTATTTATACGCGATTTCGAAGTTCATTTATAACGGGCCGAAGAAAATGACTTTACCATATGTATTATCGCTTCCTGAAGGGGATTCTTTGTTTACAAACAAAACCCAAGATAACTTCCTCAAGTGACAAGTCGCGCAATTTACACATATGCTATATATTATGTTGTTATCAAATTAGCCCGTCAATGCCAATCAAGTCTATTTTTACTATTGTTGCGAATGCGCATTAGCAATGCATATATAATTAAAGGAATTTTATTTCGCAATTAATCAGCAAACTATATCAGACAATTAATTAAATGGATGATAAAATTTTGTGTAATTAATTAAAATATTTGGCTATTTGGTTAGTGTCAAAAATATACGAGTGATTCAAATGAAGACATCTTGTTCCACTTTGTTTTATTTCCTTAATTTTAATAGTTAATTATTTTATTAATTGAACGTTCAATAATAAAATAATAAAATAAAATATTCTTTTAATGAGAATGGATAGAGCTTGAGAGAGAAATTATTCCTGAAAATTTCTTGTATCAGAGGAGTGGGTGTCTCGAACATAGGTTCGCCCAGATATTTTCTCGAAACCAGCTCGGCGGCTTCCTAAACGACATTCATGCGTCGTGTGTAGTCGTGCGTTTCATGCATGCACAAAAGCCGACATTTTGATCGGTTTATCGACCCTCGAACACACCTACGTAATATTCTAGCATGGAGTAAAGCACTATTATAGTTTTCGGGGTAACTCCAAAGTCGAGTCTCGCGACCTTTCCGATTAGGGATGCTTGAGTGACCGGGAATATCCCGTGAAAAAGCAAAGAAAAATTCTTTACTTTTTTACAGATGGACTAGACATTCAAGTATAGCAAAAGATTCTGGATTTACGCGAATCCATAATGCAGGAATAAATATGTTTTGTATCTCGTAGTAAACATACGTAAATGTGCCCCGTCCCTTATGTAAGCATATCAATGCGTGTATTAATGAGCAAACTACGATATTACTGAGAAAGTGGAGGAAAGAAAGTTTAGGCGCGACATAACGAATAATGAATAAATTGATATCTTCTCTGCGTCTATTAAATTGTCTACTAATTTCATCATTCATTTTTATCTTAATTATATTGTCATGACTCATAATATTATCATAAATGTTCAAATATTATAAAGTATTATTATGTCTGAATATTTTTGTAAAATGTGGGCACAATATTCTTATTAATTTAAAAATTATTTAATTTTTTTGTTTGTCTTGATTCTTATGTAAAATGTGTAATACTTACTTGCAAAGATAAAAAAATAGCATTACATTTAAATGGAATTTTTTTTATATACCAATGAAACTCTAATAAATATTTATGAAATAGTTTGTTTGAATCCACTTTTTTAAAAGTTATTTATCTAAAATAAAACTACAGCAAAACATAACTAATTGCATTGCATAAGCCATTAAAAACCAAATAATTTGTTATTTTGCTTTTTATGGTTGATTTTAGTGTTTTTCTTAAACTTTTTGATTTATGTTGATTATTTTGATTGATTTTTTTTTACTGATATTTTTTTGGTAGATATTTCACAACCAAAAAACATCCGTAAAGAAAAAATTGAACTTGAAATCACGTGATTCTCGAATGATATTACATCAGATATCACGGTAGAAGTTAAGACGCGTGACACACTGTTTAATTAAATAGAAGTGAATGTAACTGTTTTAATACTTGAGATACTTATATTGATTTTTCTGCCACTTCTTTTACAGACTATGCGTAAAAATATTTTCTTTATCATATAT